AAGCCACGGTCGAATGCAGCCACACAGCACTATTTGATCTTTTAAATTTACTTGAAAAATAATGAAAGGGGGGTGTAAAATACTAAACATCAGACCAAAATACCAGATGTCTTTATGTGCCACAGAGATCTGCATGTGTGAACAACACCATAAAACAACAATTGCCAAACAGACAACACCGAAACAGGTGAACACATTTCTGCCCACAGATCTGACTGTAATGAGAGCAACTGCAACTAAAGCCATGGACATTGGTCCATTGGAGTTCATGACGACATGGGTGATAAAAGCACCAATTAATCTAGAAAATGTCCCCAGCAGAACTGGGGTCTCTAATGCTCATGACACAGCAGACTGTGAAGGCTCAACTGCAAGAGCAGCATCAAGTGTTACACACTCAGACTGCACTGAAACAGTAGCAGTAATTCAGATCTGACCAATGACACTCAGTTTCATGTGACATCTGGAATTAAAAGTACAATACATGATGATGATGTAGTTAAAATAATTCCACATGTCTGAACGTGAAACTGATGAGAAGTTCAAAATTAACTGTGGTGTATTTTGTATTTGATTCTGTCTCAGGCTGACCACTGCAATTCCTTGGAGGACAGATACCAGGAAGATCCCATCAGCATTACTACGCAAATATCTATATGGCCTCCCGGATTAGCACCGGAACTACATTTTTAGAACACAGATTGCTATAGATTAGACTCCGTCCATCTCCCAGACATGAGCACAGAACACACACCTCCACCATTGCATCATCACCTCATCTAGACTTTTCAGTCTGAACGCTACACATAACAGAAGACAATGATGGCTTAGATTACAAACGTGGTACCCCACTAAAGATCTATTGTCCATCTTCACACTGACAGAACCACATAGCCTCACACACATAGGACAATATATTAATCACATGAAGACAGTCCAAAAGAGACACACAACATATATACTATTTGGTACAATTCTACCAAACCATCAACTGTGACTTAGCCTGCATATCAGACACACACACACACACACACACACACACATACACACACATCTGTTACAAGGAATTCAGGATTTCCATTCTAGAAAAATTCTAAATCATGTTCTAAGTCACTTATTAGAAACCTTAGACCTACATAAGTGACTTGCTTTGGAAGATTCCTGAATGAACAGTGTGATTATTATATATACCTACATAATGATTGTGATTGAATATTATTATTATTGTCATTATATGGCTTGTTTATTGATGCATACCTCTACATTAATGTTCAAGTTATACTGACCTCTTGCTGCATTTCCTTTGAGTCATTCAGACCAAGAATACCTAAATTAATGCTGACATGGGACCACTTTACCATATATGATCTTGAAAGACATTTAACACCAGAAGTACCACTCGCACGTGCTGTCATAAATTCATCAGGTTTCTCTTTTGTTTCATTGTTCTTATGTTAACTTATGACTTTTCTATATTACTCCATGGGTGACGACGTTAAGTTGATTAGAATTCAGTCATTGAATGGCCATTAAGATGCTTTTCGGGTGTCTCACACGAAGCAAGGGGAACACCTTCACCTGAAGTCTGCCCAGATAACCGCACCGCTGGAGGTGAGAGGATTCAAGAAGATAGGTCAGACTATCGTCCTAGAGAAGGTGCCAGAAGGAGCAGAGGTTTCTCCATAAAGGAATGACACATAAACTGAACAAGACATAAAGGCCCAGACTGACTCACTGAACTGTGCTCACATGCTGAGCTCAACCACAGGTAGAAACTCTGGAGACATTCATCCACCTGCCAAACTCAAGCAACACACACCTGCTGAGACTGAATGTTCTGCATATGAAAACAGCCCTCAGAAGGTTTCTACAGCTGCTAACATCACAAAGACAATTTTGAGTTAACATCTCAAGGATGAACAATCACCGAACAAGTGACCCCATCGGATTAATCTGAATGTGACCCATTGTGGTCAAGTGGGTGACTGTAAGGATAAAAGAAACTCAGATACTTTGATCTTCTGAGACAGACAATACACACACAGTGCATTAACATACAGACATCTGTTTCCACATCTCACTGAGAGAAAATGCGGGAAAACGTCTCTCACATATGCATTGGTTCCTCCTCATCCCCTTCCTTCCCCGCACCCATCCTTCTCTTCACCCAGCTCACTCAGAATGGTCAATGGTAGAATATAATGTTCTACATGAATGCAAATCTAACTAGAATAATCGAATGTCAGAATAATTAGAGACCGACAAACAACCAATTTGCCTTTCAACCTAAATTTGAGGTCATACTAAAATGGAGTCTGATTAGATAATAAAATGGAGTCAGATTTGAGTTAAATCTAATTTGAATACCTCTGCGCGCTGAAAAGACCGAACACGCAAGTAACCTTCATCCACCATTCATTCGACAATCCTACAGCCTGAACCACTGTAGGGAAAAAAAACACCCTTACAATATCAGTGCATTTAATTTCCTACTTCTTTCTGTTTTTCTTAGTATATGTTTAATATACAGTTTATGCACAGTGATTAGGTTATTAATTGTGGAATTGATTTGTTTTTAATGCCAGATAAGAGGCTTGCTGTTGAATTTATCTGGCCTAAAGATAGAATAAGGAATCAAATCCATGCCAACTAACCAAATGGCAATGGCAACAGAAAATGTATTTATTCCTTTCCTCTTTAACAGGATTAAGAGTTCTGTGACCAGCTGTTATACGTATTAGCTGGCCTGGCAGAAGTCACTCCAACACTTTTCCACAAACCCGTTTTAAATGGTGGCTGAGTGGGGGCAAGAACATATGCCTGTCATCCACCATAACTCAGCTGAAGCCTACAGTGAACACATCCTTACACTTTGCTCTTACACGGTAACCCATGCTATAGCAGCCCTTTTTCTGGATTTTACAGTGCAAAACTTGAACTACTTTATCAAGATGATAAAGGCAAGATTTCTCGGCAGGAATGCAGTAGTACTTTTCACTTTTTTGTGCTAATGAGGCTGAGCTCAGGGAATATATAAATGAGCTCCAAGAAAATAATACGCACTGCGTGCAGCATTCTGCCACATACTGTATACATACGCACACATGCAAACTGAGAAAGGGGAATCTTACTGAGCTGTAGAGGAAGCCCTCCGCATTCATGCCGATGTAGAAACCTGCTTTGACTCCCTGAATGGCCACCACCCTTAAGCCGACAGGGATGAGGTTGAAAAGAGCTAGAGAAAAACAAGGAGGAAACATTACATAACAATAGGATTGGCACTGCTATAACCACACTTGGAAAATGGATAAACTATTAACTAACCTAACATTTCTGATAGAAACAATGGGATCTAAATAAAATGTGTTAATTGGGTTACTGAGTAATGGTGAAGGTAAACAGTATGGTGAGAGTGGGGTAAGCTGTGCCACTTTTTACCTAGGCTGTCGTCTAATCAAGGAGAATATAAAGGTAAAATTCATAATTGTCCATTAATACATCCATATTAATACGTCTACAACATATACCACTGAAGTATGACTTCTACAAAAGTGGTCCAACAAGTTTGTCCAACAAGTCATGTCAAGAGGTAAGATGAACGATTTGCAACTTAAACAAAAATACACTATACACAAAACTAGCTAAGGAAATTTTTAATATTCAACATTTTTGAAAGCATTAAAACCATATTCAACCATTTTGTTTTTTCACTTGATAGAATCTTGATAAGGAAAAAAAAAGTTAGACTGGACAAACCAAAATATTATTAGCACACATTCCCAGGGGCGTAAATTTCATCTAACAGTAGGGGGGACAATAAACATAAAATTTCTCATGAGCAAATTTTTGAAGGGGACACAAATAAATAATACAGCTAAAATTGTACTTGTAAGGATATGTATACACAGCCTTACTACTATTAGTGCAGCAGGGAGACCAAAATTAGACAATTTCAAGCTGCTGTGGTCACGCCGCGACAGCGGATGTGTCCGTTGTTGACATTAGGGGTCTCCAACCTTATTTCATTCAGGAGCTACTTTTTAAAATATAAGCGGCTGAGAGCTACCAATGTTATACAATACTTCTCTTAACCCTTTGGTGCCGGCGGGACACCACCCGCATGAAAACATTCAAAAACAAATTATTAAGCAACCCCTGAATTTAGGTATAACTAAACACAAATTAGGTATCATTTTAAAGCTTAGAATCTCAGCTTTTTAATGAATGTAATTATTTCATCATTAAGATAAACTCTTAACGGGCGCTAAGCAGTCCCTCTAAACCGAAGTGTACCGCAGGCGGGACACCCCCCCCTCCACGACAATCTTACTAATCATATTTTTCAAACCACTG